ATTATAGGTCCTTTATAAAAGATTTTGCGGCTATCGCTGAGCCATTGTTAAAATTAAAAAGGAAAAAGGCAAGATTCTCGTGGACGGCCGAAGCCAATAGTGCTTTCGAAAAATTAAAAACAAGCATTAACGCAAGCCCCTGTGTTGAAATTTCCTGAAAAGGATGAGAATTTAGAAATTTCAGCGGATGCTTCGGATTATGCGGTAGGAGCGGTACTTTCGCAAAATCAGCAGCCCGTGGCATTTTTTAGCCGAACTTTAAATCAAACACAAAGAAATTATTCCGCGACCGAGAGAGAGGCACTTGCAGTTCTGTTAGCAGTGCAAAAGTTCCGAGTCTATTTTGGAAAGGCGCCAATAACAGTGTATTCTGATCATGCGGCGGTAACTAGATTGTACTCAGGGAAAAAACTTATCCCCAAGGTTAATAAGATGGGCACTCAAGCTACAAGAATATAATCTGGTAATCAAGCATACCCCCGGAAAGGAAAATATCGTAGCAGATGCCCTATCACGAATTAAAATAGATGAAGAAGGTAATACTGTAAAGGTGGCAATGCTCACAGCATGTACAATAAATTCCCGAGAAACTGTAATAACCGAACTGGGTAAGGATCCTGAGTTTGGAAGTATTTATGAGTATTTAAAGGATCCTGAAAATTTTAGCCACCAAGATATTGTGGCGATAAGAAATAGGGCGGCCCATTACGAACTAATAGATGGTCTATTATTTTATACAAAAACTACGAATTCCAACAACGAATTTCGACCTGTTATCCCAGCTAGTCTTAGATTAAATATCCTGCAGGAGTTCCATGACAGCCCTTTAGCTTCTCATGCTGGTATTCGAAAAACCTATCCAACGCGTACGCGAGGCAGTCTATTTTCCTGAACTGCAAAAGTTAACAAGGGCGTATGTCCAGTCCTGCCCAACATGTCAAGCAGTTAATTATATTAATTTCCGCCCGGCCGGGTTTCTAAATAGTATTAAATCCGAATTTCCAAATGAAATAATTGGCATCGATTTATTGGGCCCTTTCCCAAAAAGTCAGTTAAATAAAAGTCGCTATCTCCTTGTTATGGTTGATCATTTTAGTAAGTGGACCGAAATTGTTCCCTTAAAACGAGCCTCCGCGAAATTAGTTACTGATTCTATTTTAAATAAATATATTTTAAAATACGGGGCGCCCCTAAAAGTTATATCGGATAATGGTCCTCAATTTGTAAGTAATATATTTGAAGACATGTGCCAAAAACTGGGCATACGTCATTTAAAAATGGTCCCGTATCGGCCGCAATCAAATATAGCGGAACGGGTCAATAGAAATATAGTGAAAATTATCCGTAGTTATGTTAAAAATTTTCATAAAAGCTGGGATAACTATGTCAATGAATTTGCTTTCGCCCTTAGGACCGCAAAACATGATACAACGGGCAAAACTCCTGCTGAGTTATTTTTAGGCAGAAAGATTATAACGCCGTTAGATAAATTATTTTATGTTGCAACAAAGAGCCCCAGAATTTAAAATGGGTGATATAGAAAAAACTAATTAAAGAAGCAAAAAAGAATACTGAAGTAGCACAGAAGAACAAAAATTGTATTATGATATGAAACGACGGGGAGTAACTTATAAAGTAGGGGATGAAGTTTTAAAAATTAAGCATTCACTTTCTTCAGCACCAGAAGATAAAACTGCCAAATTTTTTCCACGATTTGAAGGACCATATGTTATAGAAAAAATAACTCACGCTGTAGTAGTGTTAAAAGCCAGAAATGGTGAAACCTGTTCCGCAAACATTGACCAGATAAAACCATTCTATGACCGTAATAAAATGCAAATCTTTTCAGATCTTTTGCAGGATCCGGGACGGCAGACACCGCAGGTACAAGCTCCAGAGGTGGGGAACAACGACAAGTACAAGGGCAAGCCAATGAGAGACAGGAAGCAAGTGAAAAGAAAATTGCCCCGCGGAAAAAATTGAAGGTACAAAGAAAAAGAAGCCGTTCCACCGTCCAGAAAAGAGAGTTCACGAAACACCCCAGAATGAAGAAGGGAGAAGGACGACGTATGTGGAAAAGACCAGGAGAAAGGACGGCAACTATAACCCGGCTTAAAACGGAAGATGACTCATCCGACACAGGACTCTCCGCAGCAAAAGTCGCCGAACTGCGGAAGGGCCATCAGCGGCGGAGGAAAAAGTACAAGAAAAATTTGAACGGCCAACAACGAGGTCCAAGCAGGAATCACGACAGAAGTTTCCCGGTTCCGCCAAGACCAGCTGCCATCAAACGGCCAAGACCACAAGCAGAGGCGAAAAAGGAAGGTGTTCAAGGGTGGCCGAACTGGTGAAAAACGGAAGCTTCCAGAGGAAAGCACTGAAGGGCGAGCCCGTACAAGAAGGAGGATAAACCAAGCTACGGTCTGCGCTACCTTTAAAGACTGGGCCCAGAAAAGGATGTCTCCGAATATCACAAAGATAAGTAAAATTTTATGTTACTTTGCAAACTTAAGTTAATCTTTCATTCTTACTGCAAGTGGCAGATTTCAAGAAGTTTTACCTCATGCGAGGTCTACCTTTATCGCCAAAAAGGGCGAGAAATGAGTTGTTACCGATTTTGGTATTATGTTTTTCAATTACTCGCGCGTAAAACTAAAGTTGATGTATAATAGCGTTGTGTAAAAGACTTAAATATTGTAAAAAGTTATTGTATAAATTTTATTTAAAACATTCTGGCAAGAAAGAAGTTTTAGTCTGAAAGACTTTTTGAAATGTAGTATTATTTCAATGTAGAAAGAATTGGCACTTGCTTTGAAAAGAATAGAAGTTAACAATGTACTACTAATGTATGTTTTCAAATGCGTAAAATTAACGGCATGTTAATATGTTCTTATATACAATGTGAACTGTTATTTTAAATGTTTAGAAAAATACGTGATATGGTAAAAGTGAAAGTAATGTTAAAAATTTTGTTATTCGTGTGACTGTAAAAAGATTAAATCATGGTGAATATGTGTTAAAGGTTGAATGAATGTAGTTAGGCTCTCTGACGCTACACTTCAGAGTTAGCCACTTTCAGAATAGTACCTCAGGGTTTAGAGTTGAAATTAGGGTGTGTTAAGAGGTCTCGTTATGTTGAATTTTAACACGTTAGTGTTTTGATTGTAGGAGGAAGTGTTGAACACGTAGACAGAAACACATTCGTGTTTGGTGTTTTTTTACAACACATGTCAGAGAGCACGGGGAGAGATAATTAAAATAGTCATGAATGAAATAAGAATGTTAAGAAAAGTATATTAATATGTTACTTGCCAATTTCATTGTGTAACATTTCATTAAACTAGTTTTCCTTCCAGATCTCTGGAAGGAACCAGAATTGAATAAAGCTCCTGTTTAGATGCAGTACAGATGAAAAAGAAAAAAGATTGTGTATATCCGGGAGCTGCTATTGTAACAAATTTCTTTCTTTTAAAATTTTCTAGTTTCTAGCGAAGTTATGTTTGTAAAAGATTGGCCTCGCGTTAGATTCTAGAGCTAAAAGTTTTCAACAAGGTCGTTTTAGACCTCAGTTTCAAACTAATTAACTCTGGCGGGAAGTATGTAAGGATCTTAAGTTTTACTAACGTTTATTTTATTTTAAATCTTTACTATCACTTCTTATTTTCTACTTCCGGCCAGAATTATAAGCGTTAAAGTATTTATGCAAAGTTTGTCTGGCGAACGCCAAGTATTTAAGTGTGGCCTTTTTGCCAAGCAGAAGAGAGGAAGCCGTGAGTTCGAAGCAGGCCGCTTACCTTAGAAGTTACGCAGTTGCTACTTTGCCTTCCAGGCCAGAGGTTTTAATCCTCTTGATAAATTAAACGTATTGTAGTGTTCACAGTCTCTGTGCTACATACGCTTCCTGTTATTATAAGGCCAATCTTATTCTAAAGTTAAATTAGAGTTTAGTTTTATTTTGATATCTTTTACGTTAGACCCGAGTGGAGGGTCATTGTATTCCGAAGTACGGAAGTTATTGTATATAAAGAAAAATAAAGGGTTTTGTATACCCTTCGTCTGTATCCTGTCTACTTACTACAATTAGTGAACATAGCTTTAGTAAGCTCTCTGTTCTAGTCAGGTCATTGTATGTTTCCGAAGAAGGTTAGAAGAAACATTGAACCTGATAAAGTATAATGATTGATTGGACAGTCCCTTTTTTTTGTGTCACACCTCCTATTTCGAATGCTGTTTACCAAATTTAATAAGTGCATCGTAAACAGAAACAATACCTGGTTATCATATGGATTTTGCATGTCTCTTTTACCGTGGGTGCCCTTATAAATGAAATATCAATTTACCATATATTTAACACTAAATGTGCTATTTTTATGTATATAGATTCATTGCCGTGACTCAACCGATAAAGTACTCGAAGCACAAGAACAATAAGCGTGTCTTCTTGACCATCGTCTTCGTATGGCTAGTCTCTGCTGCGATTGGTTCTCCCATTGTACTTGGTCTCAATACATCTCCAGAAAGGATACCTAATCTCTGCGTGTTCTATAATTCTGACTTCCTCATCATCTCTTCTCTGAGCTCCTTCTACATACCATGTATACTGATGGTATATCTCTACTACAAAATATTCAGAGCTATCCACGAACGAGCAAAGAAAGCGATAGGACAAAAGATGCCGACCAGATCAAAACTTCCAGAAGATAGAGGACTTGTTATCGAAAATGCTTCTCAAATGGATTGTAAGGAATTTACAGGTATGAATTAGCACTTTTTTCTCCTTTTTATATATATATATTTTTTTTTTCAGAAATCTTGATCAAGATTATATCAAAAACATTCTCCTGCAGTATCATTGTTTAGTCGAAAATGAATTTTAATATTTTCCCTTTTGAAAACATTGAGTCATAACTTTTAAATTGTAACTCTTTGACAATCATCTTGGACAACATACATCTCTATCCTTTCCCATGTAGTGTATAAAGTTACCACTATCGGGCGAAGCCCAGTCCACCTAATCCTCTCAAGAATGGTCTCGTGACTGCAACGGTCTCCACCCGGTCCATAAAGTATAAGGTGTTTTCTCCCTCTTTTCTGCAGCCTTTAAGGTCCCCTAATCCCTCATCTCCCTTTAAAAGGGGAAGTATATAAGGTATTTTCTCCTTCTTTTCTGCAGTCCTTTGGGTCCCCTAATCCCTCATCTCCCTTTAAAAGGGGAAGTACATAAGGTATTTTCTCCTTCTTTTCTGCAGTCCTTTCGGTCCTCTAATCCATCATCTCCCTTTAAAAGGGGAAGTATATAAGGTATCTTCTCCTTCTTTTCTGCAGTCCTTTGGGTCCCCTAATCACTCATCTCCCTTTAAGGGGACTCGTACACCTTAAAAACCCATAAGATGTTCGAATAGGTGACTGTTGCAAGAATTGGGATAACTTATTTATTTTAAAGCATTACTACCAACTTTTACAGCTGACTACATAATATAGCTGCTTTGAAATAGTCATCAGAAGTTTGTGTTGCCCACAAATATTTTATCATTTAATCCGCTTTGTGGCAACATTTTTCGTCATGTTTCCAACTTGCGCGCACAGTTTAAAACATTCTGTTTCATAATTTAATTCCTATTTAATATATAGCTTATAACGTTGAAAAGTACGTGACCTAAAATTCTAAAATTTCATGTTAAATTTTTATTTATTTGAGTTGAGTTTATAAATGTATTTCCTTAAAAAATTTGAATGGTTTTCGTCCTAAAATTTTTCAATAGTAAAATATTCATCAGATTGTTGGTTCAGTTAGAAAATAGTGCCCCATATAAAGAATTCCATCCAATTTCAAGTATATACCATTAGTCATTTTTAAAATATCATGCGCGCAAGGTGGAAATACGGCGATATATTTTGTCACAGAGAGGATTAAATTACAAAAATATTTGTGGCAACACAAACTTTCTGGTTACTAGTTTCCAAAGCAGCTATATCATGAAGTTCAGCTGTAAAAAGTTGGAAGTAATTGCTTTTAAAATAAATAAAATATCTCAATTCTTGCAATAGTCACATATTTGAAGATAATGAGGGGTTTAAGGTGCATGATTCCCCTTAAAAGGGGAAGTATGTAAGGTATTTTCTCCTTCTTTTCTGCAGTCTTTTGGGTCCCCTAATCCCTCATCTCCCTTTAAAAGGGGAAGTATATAAGGTATTTTCTCCTTCTTTTCTGCAGCCCTTTGGGTCCCCTAATCCCTCATTTCCCTTTAAAAGGGGAAGTATATAAGGTATTTTCTCCTTCTTTTCTGCAGCCCTTTGGGTCCCCTAATCCTACATCTCCCTTTAAAAGGGGAAGTATATAAGGTATTTTCTCCTTCTTTTTTCCAGCCCTTTGGGTCCCCTAATCCCTCATCGCCCTTTAAAAGGGGAAGTATGTAAGGTATTTTCTCCCTCCTTTCTGCATGCCTTCGTGATGTAACGGTAGCACACTTGGCGCGTATTCGAGAGATCCAGGTTCGAATCTCGGCGTGAGCATTGCACATTTTCCACGTCTCTTGCTTAAAAAATAACATAATGACTTTACAAGTGCAAAGCAATGAAGGCCACCGGGAGACACACAGGCTGCCCATTTCTTTTTTTTTTTTACCTGACGTATACAGCAAAATTAACAAAAAAAAACATTTTTTTACCTATTATTACCTATTTATTCACTTATTTTTTACCTGCCTGATACGTGTATATTTTCGTACATTTCTTTAATAACGTTATTCATAAATACACAGAAAACGTTCAGATTTTCAATAGCATACATTAGAGAATTGATTTTTCCGAATTTGTGGCTACACTTGAACATCCATAACGTTATCAGTAACTTTTCTATATTTTGAGGATATAAATGTTTTGTGCAAATGATTTATAATGGCATTTTCTATTTCTACTGGCTTTGAATTCTTCTCAACAGTGGCTGACGTCTAAAATGTAATGAACACTTCCAGCATCATTGAATTTGGGTGTTGTTCTCCTTGCAAATTCTGGAAAATAAACATAAACGCGAGATGTTGCATTATACTTTTTCGAAGTTACAAGAAATTCTAATCCGGTAAATATAGAAATCAGAATTAATCAACAACCAGTTCCTTTCGTTACCTCTACTAAATATTTCGCAGTAATACTACATCGGGAACTCAAATTCAAAGAACATGTAGATTATGCTCTTAGTAAAACTTATAATGCATACATGGGAATCTATAGAATCATTGGCAGAAAATCTAAATTGGACTTAAAAATTAAAAGAACTCTCTCCCTAATTTCATTACGACCAATTCATTTCTATGCAGTACCTGTACGGACGACTGCCCTTAAAAGTCATAGAAGGAAAATTGTTGTTTTGCAAAACAAAATTCTTAAGGCCATCACTAATGATCCATGGTTTGTCAGAAACCGACAAATTCATGAGGATTTACAAATCGCACATGGAATGGATTATATTTTGGCTACTTCTCACAGTTTGTTTCAAAGGATTCAAAATTCCGGTTATAAACATGCTAAAAATCTTGCTAACTACGATCCTACCATCCAAAATACCTAGAACATAAAAGACCTAGAACAAGTGACAACAATAGTAAAGATTGATTTTGTGAAATCTGCAATTTGCTTTTCCTTTTTAGCACTCTGAGTTTTGTTTACAACCCATCGTACCCTTTATCTGTATAACATCAGCATGCTGCCCCTTATGCAATTTATTCATTTCATTGGAATTCCTGTATTAATGCCTTAATCATCTCCAATAACCGTTTATTTAATCTACCATTACTGCTACCAACTCGGACAGCTTTATTTCCACTATCTTATGGATTCTGGGTAATTTTACTATTCAGGATAATTTTACTCGTTTTAGTATTTTCCATCAAATGCAATACATTTGGTGCGGAGAGCGCTTTGTTTTTATATGACCACTGGCCAAGGACACTCCATCGACAAGTAAAAACCCTTGGGTTGAATGCTAGAAGCACCAACAAGTCACAAGGTGTGACTTGTTGGTGCTTCTTGGTGTGACTTGTTGGTGCTTGTTGGTGCGACTTGTTGGTGCTTGTTGGTGTGACTTGTTGGTGCTTCTTGGTGTGACTTGTTGGTGTGACTTCATATGAGTGAATTAAATGGAAAAGCAACTTCAACTCGAATCATCATTGTCAGTTACAATGAATCCGAAAACAAATCTATTAGTGTCAGCATAAATCATCTGAATCAGCCTGGTTAGCTAGCTATACTGTGTAAAAGCAACTGTTTTCGGAAAATAGGCGATCGTAATTTAAAACTCTTGCATAAATCGAGATTTTACAAATTGTAATCACTCGTAGGGAATGTCGTGCTTTATATTTCATTTTGTACTTAGCTTCTTTTAATTAACTTGATCTACAGAATCGTAAACGTCACTTTGAATAGTTATCTGAAAAATAGTTTATGATTGTCTCATGAATACGGAAGGTGTTCACACATTTTTGTAACGATTTTGCAAAGTCATTAGCAAACCTTAGAATGCATAAGCAAACCTTAGAATTTTATTTTATAATATGTTCAGTTTGAGATTCCTTTTCTTACACTATCACATTACATCTGGATTTTCAAGATAAAAGTCCTTTTCACAAAACATCAAGGTTGATTTTATTTTACTCCTCCTTCACTATCTTCCAGAGTTCATCCACTGTTTTGGAAAGCCGCTTATATAACGTTTCTTTGTTTTAAAAGTTCAGTGTACAGTAATCCATAGGAGAAACATCTGGAGACTTGGGTGAGATGCATTTAAAGGGAATAACTTCAATTCCGGTTTGACTTTTTCAAACCACAGAACAGTACATTTAGGAAAATGGCTTGGTGCCTTGTCCTGATGGAACTTAACGCAATGAAGATTGTTTGGATAAACAGATGGAATTTCTTCCTTAAAAATAGGTCTTAAAACATATTTCTGATAGTAATGCGAATTAATTTTGACATTTTTTTCTACTTTTCTTATTTTAAGTTTTCCGTTATAAGAGAATCTGGTAATAAATATAAAACCCTTGTTTTCTCTGAACCAACACACCAAGACTTTTTCTCCTCTTTTTCAGTAATAAATCGATCTTTTTCCGTTGCAATCAGATAAGTATATCCGAGCTTCATCAATTGTAATTATGTGTTTCCATTTTTTACCTGCGACATAATTTTTGTACAGAAATTTGCATATCATCTTACGTCGAGAAACATGTTTCGGCGTTAGGCGACGAGCATTATGTTTTTTTGTTTTGATTAGATTTAAATCAGATTTTATAATTTTCTTCACAACTCCGACGGAGATATTTAAAGATTGAGCGCTTTGGGGGGGGGAGAAAGCTGAATTTTCTCTTAAAATAAAGAACTGATGTACCATTGTTGGGTATGCAATTTTTTTTCCCAATCAGATTTCAACTTTGACGTTTCTTTCATTTCATATTAATTATGCCACTTATTTTACGTTTAGAAATATTAAAATCATGCTTTTCGCATCTTTTTTTTTTATAACTGAATAAAATTATTTCGCATTGTATAGCCTTCGATCTATTGTTTATGTTTCAGCGAAAAGAACCAAACAACTCAAAAAATATTCTGAAACTTCTCCATTAAAATACTAAGCACAGGAAATTGAAGATTAAAAACCAAGCAATTATAAAAAAGATTCTGAAACTTGTTTATTAAAATACTAAGCATAAAAAATTGAAGATTAAAATCCAAACAATTCTAAAAAAGATTCTGAAACTTCTCT